GACGGAGACGGATATAAGTAGGGTTGAGGGGGTTGTACTTGTACACCTCCCTGCGGTGGCAGTGGCGGTGGTATAAGGGTGTTTGATGAAGAGGCAGAAAACATTCTTGGTGGGAATCTGAGAGGTAATGTTGGATCAGCACCACCAATGTTGTTACCTGCAGCAGCCGGATGATGATACCCTCCTGGCGGAATCGGATGGCAGCATCTATAAAATATCAAACCCAGCACACAAATCAAATCACACTAAATAAATACCAACTATTTTATTTGTTTTTATACAAAAACATATCATCTTGACCACGATTAAGAAGATTCGATCTTAATTGCAGAAGAAGAGGACACTGCATTGCATTACCAACTAATTTATTAAAAGAAAAGGAAGAGAAATTAAAGCATAAAATTACATACCCAAGGTGAGGAGGAGGGGCGGCTAGGTTATCGTTATTGAAAACCAACTGACGAGCCCGGTTTAGTTGTTCTGTCTCCCTTTCTGATGGCCATTCCAACACACAAATCAAATCACACATAATAATATATAAATAACTAGGAATTCAGAACCAAAAATAAATAAATAAGCACATGAACCTTAATTGACAAAACAAGAATTTCAGCAAAAGAAAACAACCAATCAAATCAAATTAAAAACTTTCTTTTCCTCAAGACACTGAAATGACCGAGGACACTTCATGGCTGGAATCATGGATGACGATGTAAAATTATGCTTTGCTGAAAAGCTGCTTTTGAATTTCTTGTTAAAATTGAATAGGAGAGAAATGAGGAGAGAGTACCTTGACGGTGGCGGTTCATGTGTCCCCCGAGGGCCTGGGATTTGCAGAACTTGAGGGAGCAAAACCTACACTCGTAGACCTTCCCACTCTCGTCATTTCCATCTTTTGCGCCGTTTTTCTTTTTTCTGTAGCTGCCTGCAACTATGTGAAACCCCCCAATCATAAAAAAAAAACCAACTTCGATAAGACACAACCTAATCACCTCAAACCCTACTTAATTTATTAACTAACCAAAAATCATCATGAATAAATTTTAAGCTCATCAATTTATTCAAACTTCCAATCTCCTTTCATTTATGGCCTTTTTATTGAATTAAAAGTAAATAAAAAAAAAAAGAAAAGGGGGGGGGGGGGGGACTTGAAGAGAAAAACAAAACAAGAAAAATGCACCCGTTGATCGATAATGCAAATTTAAGGGTATTTGGTTTTGCGGTTTTTTAGTTTGGGGAATGGTGGTAGGATATCAGATATTTGAGTAGTACCGGAGGAGCTGACGTCGGCATATTGTTGGCCATCTCTGCCGTAATGATCCTCAGGCAAGTTGTTGAGGTCTAGTGGGTTTCCTTCATCAGGTCGCCTGCAATAAAAAACAACAAGTAAATAATACAAGTTCAAAATCCAAAAAAAAGAAATAAAAATAAATAAGACTTATAAAAAAAACCAGGTAATAATAGTACTGGTGTTGAACTTATAAAAAAGAAGACCTATACACACACAAAGTGGTATTAAAAAAGGGCAGGAGAGAAATTAAAGAGAAGAGGAAGAGAAGCAAGCAGCAGGTGAGAAAAGTGCGGGGGAAGACCTACATGGTACCGACAGAGAAAGAGAGAAATAAAATTGTGAAAGTGAGGCGAAGTATCTCTCTCTTCTCTCAGACGGGAAGACGGATCTTAGGAAATTACAATTTTTTTTCAGAGGCTAGTTGAGTGATGGTGGAAGAAAAGGAGCTTTGAAAATTCTCTATCAGTTTCTCTGCCATACCCCTTTGGACTCATTTCTCTCTCTCTCTCTCTCTCTCTCTCACAATAAAATTATTAACAAAAATGAAAGAACAAAGCTAGCTGATCTCGTGACTTTAAAAAGGGGAGGTGGTGTGGCGGAATGTAGGGAAGACAGGGCTTTAGGCTTTAGGCTTTAGGTATTGTGCAAGTGTCATTTGGCTTGGTTGAGACGAGGGACGTGGCTCTTAAGTTAGGAAAGAGGCGAGTTCCATATAAGAAACACATGAGTGGCAACTCAATATTTTATTTTTCTAGATATATAGATATATCTTCTTCAAAAATACCATAACCCGAATTATTCACTACTCTATGCTACTACTTTTATAACATGCTTTAAAAAGAAAACTCAATTATTCAAGGGAATATTCTAAATTATTCACTAGTCTATGCCAGTGTGTCTTATTTAGATGCAGTAGTAGTAGACATTTCTTGCTAGTTGTAGACTTAGGGGACAATGCGTTTTTATTTTGTGAAACTTGAAAGCGATTTTTGAGAAGTTTTCATTTTTTTTAAATTGAAAGAAGTTATCAAAGAAGATTTTCAATTTAAAAAAAAAAGAGTGTAAACATAGATAAAAAAATTTAAAACAAAATAATTATCAAATGCTCTCTTCCTTTGTGGGTGTTATAATTTCTACTATTTTGTCCTCATATAACAAATGATGTTCTCTAGAAAACCACAATACCAAGACCATTTTACTTTATTTACCAACAAAAAAAAAAAAAAGAAGACCATTTAATTTAACGTAATCATAAACTAGCACATGCCTCACACTTTGTGTGAAAATATTTTTTATTTTTGTTTAGGAACGTGTAATTGAAGAGAGAAGTTTTTATTTTATTTTTTATTTTTTAAAATTAGAGGATGTTAATATCACTTTTGGGTGAAGCTTTAAAAAAATTGTAAAATTTAGTTTGTGTGAAATTACTTTACTGGCCATGATTTTGTTTTGTGGTAGAAAATTAAATTATATTTTCACTATCTTTTGGTTAACAAAGAAGATTCTATTAATATATAGTTTAGATTAGATATTGTAGTTATATATATATATATATATATATATCTTTGTACACTACTATGAAACTACTCATTAGTGTCATTCTTAAAAACGATAATAAAAGCTAATTCATGTCGGGTATTAGGTAAAATCTAACAGAAAATGTTTGATTGTTAGTATTTTTATGATCCAAGTAGGGATGCATGGGCACAACTCCACCCAATGTCTTGTTTTAGTCTTTAGGAGTATCTAGTTTGGTTGATCATCTTCATTTTCCACTAGACAAATGGTCTAGTTAAAAACTAACTAAAATCGAACTAGATCCACTTAGATGCATGCACGCAGTCTAACAAACCAAACGATGATCAAGAGGAGATGTGCTTAATGAGAATGTATAATCTAATCAAGTTTTAACCTTTTTAATTAGTATAGCCTAATGATTTCAGTACTCCTTTTCGAAAATTCTTGCACGCCTCCTGGTAATGCACATAAAGTACAACACAATTTGAACTGTAGATAACTAAAAGAGGAGGATGAAGATCGTTGCCCTTAATTATTTTTTGCTATAATTTAATCTTATTTATGGTAGTTGGAAAGAAAGAAGATAAAAACCGTTATCTACGGTGGTTAATTTCTGTGGGTTTTATATACTCAGGTCAGTTGGGTTCCTGGACCACACTATGTACGTATAGGTCTAGATCGATCATTTGGACTGGTAATACAAATTTGCAATGTCCGGCCATGCAAGCATGCATCGGCCGTGCATCCAAATACCGCAAAACTGTATAATTCAAATAAGGTGGTCCTGCATGCACTCGCTACTCTGCCAAAGTATCAAACATCCTCTATCACTTTCTAACAGTATTTAGTGGAAAATCGTATATTCATCATGATTTCCAGACGTCCAGTCACACATACTCAAAGGAACAGCACATGCACCAACAATTTCAGAGGGGGGTATCTGCAGCTCCTGCTTATGTTTATGGTACAATAATTTACAATGTTAGCAGAGAAATTGACGTTAAACTGTGAGATGACAGAAAGTCTGTGGGAATCTCAATTTAAGACAGTCCCCTAAGCGTTTCCCTTGCTTTTTAATTCATTTATTTGGGCTGGTGGCCTGAACACGATGAATACTGACCATCAAAAACCAAATCATTAAGTTGAAAAACAAAAATAAAGGAAATTAAGCAGTTTGTTTTAAAAAGTTAGGTAAACTGTATTTGTAGCAGACTTGTTGAGTTATTTTGATTAATAATGTAATTTTCCAGATTTTGTGGTGCACGACTTTGCATGTCGGTTGCCGCCAATTGATTTTTTTGCCACAAAGTGTGAAAGTCAACATGGAAAACTGCTTCTGGGTTTTAATTCATTCGTTCTGATTTCGGGAAGGGATCTCGTCACCCGGAGGCCCATACCAGCCCGTTGGATACCTTTAGCCCAATAGGTGAAATAGTAGGCCCAAGACATTACTTATTTCGTCAAATAATGTCACATGACAAGCACATTGTATCTTTTTTAAGGTCATTCTCATAATTTTACCCCATCATGGTTCTGACGTAACAAGTGTTCTAGAGAAAATGGAAAGAAAATTTTGGCCTTCGTTGGGGAAAAAAACCGTATCAATAAAAAAGGTAAGCTTAATATTAATAGTAATTTAAGTTTTTTCAAATAGATCACCATGCTCTAGCCAGTGTTTAAAATATCTATGAAATTATCGATATTTTCTTCCAAATCTCAGAAAAATCAAAGGTCAATATGGTAAGGGGGTAAAATGTAAACTTCACCTTATATCAGCAAGATAGGAAAATCAATGAATATCGACGATATTTATCAATTCATTATAGAAATTTTCCAGAAATCCATTCCAGATTTCGAACTTTTGAATTTTTTTGAGAAATTTTTCTCTAAATTTAAATGAGTTGATATACCCACCCCATTGCAAACTTCCATAATTTTCGTCAAAAATAATTCATATCGATATCAATATGTACATATCGCTATTTCCATCTATATCAATATTTTAAATACTGGCTATAGCTATTAGCTCGTGAGACTTTGTACGTGACGAATATGTCCTTAAAGAGGGCCTCTAAGAAATTTGAGTACCAGATTGCAACACAACACATGGAGTTTAGGGATTATTTGTAGATAAAAATAGTTCACGCCGTAATTAGACAAAAACTCTAGTGGCATTTGCGCAATTTTATCCAAAAAAAGAAGAAGAAGGAAGAAGATGCAAAAGAAGCTTATCCTATCGGTTTGTGAAACAACTGCCAGCCAGCTAGCTCCCTCCCTGTTTTATCCATGGCGTCGTCCCTGCTCTTTCTTCCACCAACCCCACCTCTCAGCTTCCCTTCTTCTTCTTTCAAGGTTCTCTCTCTCTAATTATTGATAGGATTTGCTAAATCAGCTGCTAATAATTTCAATCTTACAGGGAAATGCGAGAAACTTGGGGCAAAAACTGTGTAGCATTCCCTCCGTCAGGGTGACCGGAGCTACAGAAAGAAGACCACTGGTGATTGTGAACAAGGCGGCGTCGTCCACGGTCGGGGCTTCGGTCGGCAATGTACGGTTCAGGCTGGATAATTTGGGCCCTCAACCCGGGTCCAGAAAAAAGGGCAAGAGAAAGGGAAGAGGTATAGCAGCCGGGCAAGGGAACAGCTGCGGGTTCGGTATGCGGGGACAGAAGTCTCGGTCCGGACCCGGCGTCCGCCCCGGATTTGAAGGCGGTCAGATGCCGCTTTACCGTCGACTTCCCAAACTGAAGGGAATTGCTGGAGGTAATTGCATTAACTTATCTGTTATTTCTTGACATATGAATGCACGCCATGTGTTTGTGAAAAAAATGCATCAGTGGCTTTTGTTCGTGCAATGCTCAAACCTTGTTTTGTTTTCTTGACAAGGTATGAGTGCTGGGCTGCCCAAGTATGTCCCTGTTAACTTGAAAGACATAGAAGCCGCGGGGTTTCAAGAAGGCGAAGAAGTGTCGTTGCAAACTTTGAAGAACAAGGGCTTGATCAACCCATCCGGAAGAGAGCGGAAACTCCCTTTGAAGGTAAATACTTTAAATTGTCTGCTCTTCACAATGTAGTGGTTATTGATTAAGATCAGATTGATGTCATACCGTTTGTTAATGTTCGAATGCTCAAATATGATAAAAGTATGGATGAATAATACAAAGCTTGAGTCTTTAACCTAGTGTTAGTTTTTAGTCATCTTTTCTGGCTAGGAGGAGGATGAACTTATGTTGTTAACGTACTGATGTCGCCTGTTTCTCATGCCTAAACCCTGTAAATCTGGCCTCTGTGCCTCTGTTGTGCCGCTGCGCTAAGCTAAATGTGACAGTGAGCCTTGGGAAAATCATAAGAGTTATAATCTCTAGCCGAAAATTCCTCCTTCAGATTGTTGTTTCTTTTGTTTGTAATGGTAGTTTGGTATCTGGTAGAGATAGTATAGAACTTTCAGCCTGGACAGTTTTCTCTCAAAGGAATTATGAAACAGTTTATCTTGCTTCATATAGTTGATCTAATTGTTACTTAATGTAAAAACAAACGTAATTCTTTATTATAGAAGTATTGGATCAGCTTGCGTGATATATTGAATCAGTTTTTGATTCGTTGGTTTCTAGTTCCTGGAATTTGTGTTTTGGTTAGAGGCTCCCATACTGCGTGCATTCTGGCCAAAACTTGGCAAATCCACATGTATGATACGGCAGTTGCGCAATTGATAAATGTTAGTTTTTTCTGTGTAAATTTGTAAAAATTGAGTAGAAAAGGGTTTTTTTTATTTTTATTTTTTACCTTATTCAGCAGCTGTAATACGTCTTTTACTATTAAAGTATCTGGATGATATAGTTAATGGCAAAACTATAGAATAACAGAAATGTAGTACAAGCATTAGGGCCACTACAAGCTTCATGTGGCCCGATAATTGCTAAGCTTGACACGGACGTCACAAAACTTAGGCAATTATCAGTTTGCTATGCTCATTAATCATCTTTGCATAGTGGAAGAATAAAGTTGCCCGCTCTCTTTTTTCTAGATTCTTGGTGATGGGGAGCTGAGTGTGAAGCTGGATATAAAGGCTCGTGCCTTCTCAGCAGCAGCGAAGGAGAAACTTGAGGCTGCTGGCTGCAACCTCACTGTATTGCCTGGTAGGAAGAAGTGGGTAAAGCCATCAGTTGCCAAGAACCTTGCACGTGCTGATGAATACTTCGCCAAGAAACGAGCTGCTGCTGCTGCAGCTGCTGCAACCGAATCTGTATCTGCATAGACCACTTCATAGTCAGCCTGTACGAGACTGTAGGTGAAGTAGTGCATGGTAACAATTTTTTAGGCATGTTAATCTTCTTTCCTGTTATTATCATTTTACCTTATGTGGAATTATAGCGTAACGTTTGGCTATTGTTATACAACGTGAGAAGTAATATTTGTCAATCCTTGAATTGGCCGTGACATAGTGATCTATAGGTCTTTTGTTGGCATCCTTGCTAGGAAATTATTTGTGAGTCAATAAAATTGATCAGCGTCGCGTTTGATTTGCCTGTGATACAACTCATTTGCTCCTTTAGTGACATTATTGAGTGATGCATTGCTCTTGTTGATGCACAAAATCAGCGAGACTTTGGAATAACGTAAGGTGTCAAGTTTGTGACCTTCATTCGATTGCTCCGGTCATCTGATTAGGATAATATGTAAAGGGATAGAGATAGAGAAGCAAACACAAGATATACGTGGTTCACCTTATGTTTGGCTACATCCACGGAGTAGAGGAGTTCTTATTAATAGTGTTTTATAGTTGAGGAGAGTCTTCAACTTTCGTTCGCGTTCGATGTGGGACTCTAGGAGCTTTATTTTGACGTTGACATGCGTCATATTATGATTGACCTCCTGTGTGGAAGGAAACTCTCGTGCTTCAGCAAAGGTGCTTCAGCATGAACCTTTTAGTGAGTCCTTCAAGGTATGAAGTTGACCAGTACTTGATAATTTTGAGAGTGGTCAAGCATGGTACAAACAACTCTCACTCAACATTTAGATATACGTCATGCCTGACTTTGGCAAATGATGAGAAATGAGCGTGATGCGAGTAATTTTCCGTTAGTTTGTCAAATGATTTGGATTTTTCCTCTAAAAAGCAAGGGCAGGGACCTAAGGCAAAATGATGGTGATGCCGACCAAAGTTTAAGTGATTAAATAATTTGGGTCATGAGTTTGGACACCGCATGGGAAATCATGGCTGTCGAATGTCAATGCGCACCAGCATTTGCTATTCAGAAAAATGTGATGGATGATTCTCTCTCTAATCTCTGGTCCCGGAGATCGAAATGCATCACGATCAAAATCTTAGGAAATTGATAGCGTGTCCAATTGCTATTCCATAACATGATTAGGAAGTTGTCAAATTGCTCCGCCTCCCAGGTTCCGCAATTCCGACCTTACAAGGTGGTCCCATTAAGGCAATGTCGCAACTGCTACATTACCCATCTGTGTTCATGTTTCACTTTAGAAACGGGGCCAATTGCGTTATTTTCAGTCTCAAAAATTGCCTACGGCTGTAAATATTTATGAGTTTTGGTTTAATTTGGGTAAAAGCTGGTGATGTGAAGTCATCGAATAACTTATGATATATTGACGATGAACTAACCCTACATCTTACACAACCTATGTGGACAGGTAAAATAGAAACGTAAAAGCACAATCAAGCCATAAATATTTGGCTTTTTAGCCGATGATCATTGAGATTTGCATAACTCCTTATTTTGGTCTCTGAGATTTGAAATAAATAGAATTGGTTCTTGAGTTTGTCTAGAATCAAACGTTTTGGTCATTGCATGAAAAATCTCCATAAAATAAGAATAAAATGACAAAAATACTCTCAATTTTGGTCAAATCATTTTGGCCTATTGTTTATTAAATTGAGCGTAATTTTGTCTTTTGATTCATATTTAACATAATTTTTCACCTAAGAATCAAAATGATTGATAGTGGACAATCTCAGAGAACATTTCTATTGATTTCAAATCTCAAAGACTAAAGTGAGGAGTTATACAAATCACATAGACTATTTTAGCTAAAAAACCTAAATATTTCCAACCCAAACAAAGAAAGTTATGGTGAGTCAAAGAAATTTGGGTTTATATGACCATATGACATAATTGTCACATCACGTGCACATAATTATTTATTTACTTGTATTTTGGTTTTCACCTGCCTCTCCTCCAACCTCTTTTGCCCCTCTTGATTAGTAGCTTAAAGTCATAAGCTTCAGCTCACTTCCACCTTTATTTGGGTTGTTCTACTTCGAAAAAGAAAAAAAAGAAACGGAGAGAGGGAAGAATATGGCATGTACTAATTTAGGTTGGCCAATTGTCGACAGAGCGTTCGTGCATTGTAACCTCGGTAGGAAACACATCACATGCAATTGCGGAGTCATAAATTTTTATTATGGGTAGGCTAGTTAAAAAAAATTACCTAAAAATCAAATGATTTTTTTTCCCGACTACATACATATTGTATGCAAAATTTAAGTTTAAGTGTCACATCCTGGTCCGGGACGGATCACTTCTCGCCCCCGCTCCATCACCGTAGCACGATATTGTCCGTTTTGGGCTCCAACCACGCCCTCACAGTTTTGTTTCTAGGAACTCACACGAGAACTTCCCGATGGGTCACCCATCCTGAGAATGCTCTTACGCGCTACTCGCTTAACTTCATAGTTCCAGCGGAACCCGAAACCAATGAGCTCCCAAAATGCCTCATGCTAGGTAGAGATGAGAATATATATATAATGATCACTCCCTTGAGCGATGTGAGATGTCACAATCCACCCCCCTTAGGGGCCCGACGTCCTCGTCGGCACACCACGACTAGGGTTAGGCTCTGATACCAAATTGTCACATCTCGCCCAGGGTGGATCACTTCCTGGCCCCGCTCCACCACCGTAGCACGATATTGTCCGCTTTGAGCTCCAACCACGCCCTCACGGTTTTGTTTCTGGGAACTCACACGAGAACTTCTCGATGGGTCACCCATCCTGGGAATGCTCTTGCTGCTACTCGCTTAACTTCATAGTTCCAATGGAACCCGAAGCCAATGAGCTCCCAAAATGCCTTGTGCTAGGTAGAGATGAGAATATACATATAAGGATCACTCCCTGAGCGATGTGGGATGTCACAATCCACCCCTCTTAGGGGCCCAACGTCCTTGTCGGCACACCACGACTAGGGTTAGGCTTTGATACCAAATTGTCACATCCCCACCCGGGGTGGATCACTTCTTGAGCCCATTCCACCATCGTAGCACGATATTGTCCGCTTTGGGCTCCGACCATGCCCTCACGGTTTTGTTTATGAGAACTCACACTGAGAACTTCCAGATGGGTCATCCATCATGGGAATGCTCTCGCGCTGCTACTCGCTTAACTTCAGAGTTCCAATGGAATCCGAAGCCAGTGAGCTCCCAAAATGCCTCATGCTAGGTAGGGATGAGAATATACATATAAGGATCACTCCCCTGAGCGATGTGGGATGTCACATTAACTCTGTATTTGTATACTTTAAGTTTACTTGGCATGAACTCAACAATCTTCGCATTTGCAAACCGCAAAAATTACAATGAATCATCAAATTTCCATATATTTAGATGCAAACACAAGAAGAAGATAAAAAACTTGACATCTCAATTACAATCACACAACTAGCACAAATCAAAACAATGAAAGTAGATGCAAGGGCAATCTTAAAAAAATTGATTCAAACAAATATAAAGCCCACTAAATCAAAGCAGACTAATCTTGAATAAAATGACATCACAATTTCCATGATAAGTTTTATATTTCTAGTTGTGCTAAATACTCGCCAGGCTAATTTCATTAAAAAATAATTCTTCTTGCAGTTCATTTGTCTATTATATTAGATTATGCACTAAAATATATATACAGATATGCCACAAACTCTTTTTGAACTACAGCCCACCGTAGCCTTTGGTGTGGCTACACTATTGATCACATGGTTACCACGTATCATATATAGGATTAGAGTTTAGTTCCATCAACAAGTCCAAACGTGCAAAAACCAATTTTCAAATACACATCGTGGATCATGATCCGCGACAATTCAGAATATGCGACAATTTGAAATTTTGATTCAAGCTGCAACAGTTCCTTGGTATTTCATCAATGCATGAACAACGACAACAATAAAGCTTTATTTTATTAAATGTGGTTGGTTGTATGAATTATAAAATATTATCGCGCTCGATTTTGTACCAAGTATTTTCAAGTCTTCTTCTACCGCTTTTATCCTAAACCTCTGTCTCATAATCGCATATTTTAACTGGATCATCTATAGGTATTTGGTTGACGTGTTCAAAACACCTTAACTAATTTTCTCTCATTTTATCTTCAATTTCGTTTACCCCTGCTTTACCTTAAATGTCTAATTCTTCATTATTTCCATTCTCGTTCTCAAAATTTGGTTAAGTTTGTCTGCTTGTGGCATTCAGTCTTGCTTTTGGCTGTTTTTTTTTTTTAACGCGGGCAAAGACACCAGTTGGATTGGGGATTTATGGCGGGAACGATGTTAGATTTGAGGCTATTTTACCGCCCAATTGCAATGTCAGATACAAAAGGTGGGCAAATCATGGCCATCACTACTTTGTCTTAAACCAAGATTGGGAAATGTCACCTTATCATGTTCGTCACAAAATACGAAGTCCAACTTCTATTTTATTGGTATGGTAACTAAATTAGGGAACAATAGATATTAAAATCCTATCAGTTGTTTTACCAAAATATAAAAAAAATGGCATCAGTTTATCTTTTTTGGATGTTTACTTGTATGATCTTAGTTTATGACGTAACAGATGTAGACATGTTTCAAATTACGTGAAAGTCGAAGTTGTATGATTAGTTTATGAGATGTAGGTGTGGCTTTTGAGTCGAGTAAAAGATAGTCCACTACTTACCACGTCACCAATTAACGATGCATAAAATAGTCAAACAATTAAAAAATATATATTTTAAAACTTCGGAATGGAATGTGATAAAATTGAAATTTCGTATTTTGTCAATCGAGTGAACTTGGCTTCTCACTCAAGGAGGAGTTGGTCTTTAAGATTTTTTGTTACCGATTCAATGAATATTGTGTTCATAATTAAATTTTTTCGTATTATAAATCACTTGTAAGATTATCTACACGAAAATATCAATAAAATATGTCAGGCGTGTGGACACGTGTCATCATGTTCGCATGTCATGGGGTGGGCAAAGGGAAATAGGGCACAGCGGACTCGAACACATTATCGCGGGAGGCACCGCCAGCGTGAAACCAAATAACCAATAACAACTTGACAACCCCAACCCAAGAAAGATATTTTATTTGTAATAAAGAATTTAAATAAAAGAAATAGTATTTAATCCCACGTTGAATAATTGAAAAGATAAAAATCTGAGAGGCTCTGTCGGTCTTCGCACTCCTCTGGCACGGAGGATTTTTCGATGTGATCATCATAAGAATGGTACATTACTGTATCATTATATAAATGATGAGATATATTCATTAAAAAATTAATAACTTAAAATTTTCTACAAATTACATAAAAACACTTAAGGTAATTCAGAATTTTTTAACTATATTCTCGTCACAACAAAAAATTTATTTTCTAGCACGCCCCACTCCACGCCTCTGGCCTTTTCCCCTTTCTCTCTCCTCCTCTTTCTTTCTCTCTCCGATTTAATTCGAATTTAATATTTATTTTTTTATGATTCTTTCTTTCTCTATAAATTGGGTGGACGCTCTCTTTTGTTGATCTTGTTTCCTTTCCCGTCCGTCTTCTACCTCTCACCTAATATTTGCTTCCTCTTTCCCTTTCTGTTATGATATCTCTGTAACAATTAGGGTTTCCTTACACAGGCAGCCAAGCAGCTCACCTCCTCACTCCAACTTCAGGTATTTACGTCTTTTTCTTTATTTTTGCTGATTTTATTTTATTTTTTTATTTTTTGTTGCTTCTGATTGTTCAAAAACGATGCGATTCGCAATTTTATAGAGAAATTATTTGATTTCAGATCAGATCTGTTCACTTCAGACCTAATCAAGAACGTTTTGGATATATTAATTCGTATTAACGATTTGTTTGATTAGGTTTTACGGCGTCGTTTCCAAGCGAGGAAGAGATGAATCACTGTGCGATTCAGCAAGGAAACGCCCTATCAGCTTGCGATGACATGAGGGCTTGTTCAAGAGACTCGGTTGTTTGTCCCAAACCTCGCCGTTTTGGCCTCCTTAGCGTCACTCACAACGATCCCGTCAGATCTCTCCGATGGCATCTCGGGTAATTCGCCGAATTTGTATCTGTTTAGGGTTTTAAATTATGCCAAGTTTGAAGTATCGGTTTTGATTCTTTATTTGAATGAATTTCAGCCACCAAGCGGAGCTCTATGATTCGAAAGCAGGGTCTGATATTTTGGACATCCTCCTCCCAAAGGTATATAAAAATTTCTGGATCTGGAGTTGCTATTTGAACAAAAATAATTAAATTTAAGAATTATGCTCAAATAGGTTAATTGGGAAGTGATGAGCATCCGGTTCTTAATGATTTTGTTCATTTTGGATTTTCTGCAGGGATCTTTTGGTGTTGAACCGTTTTCATGTACAGAAATAGCCTCGCCGCACCCATTTTTCTGCGGGTCACCGCCGAGCAGAGTAGCTAACCCATTAATTCAGGATGCTAGATTTGGTGATGAGAAACCCACCCCATTGTCCCCACTGTCGCCAACCGCTCCCCCATTGGACCTTTTGTCGTCTCCTTCATCATCAGCGAGGAAAGGAGGCTTTGTTCGGGCCAGTTTCGGGAACAAGCCAGCGGTGAGGGTCGAGGGGTTTGATTGCCTGGACAGGGATCGACGTAATTGCAGCATCCCTACCCTGGCATGAGATCCCAATTCAACCGATGAAGGTACATAGCAAAAAAGACTGAGCTTAAAGTTTGAATAGACAACCACAATACTTTGATAGCATGTGAGGAAATTTTGAAATTTTCAGCGCTAGAACTTCAACGATCCTTCTGCATTGTGTAAATATGTGCGAGGGATTTGTGTAAATGAAATGTGTCAGTGTCGATTATGTAAATGAGAATGTTAACCAAATAATAGTTGTTACAAGGGGGTGGTGTGGTCTATCACAAGTTCACAACACCCTCTTGTATTGTAAAAAGTAGAGTCTGTTGTGGGAAAATTTTCATTGTGTTTCCATGTATGTGTATCGGAGTTTAAACTAGCGGCTTATGAAGCGAATCTGTATGTATTGAAGATTCTGTTTAGTCGATCTAAACTGTTGTTTACAGTGTAAATAAATCATTTGTGTTTTAGTTCATCTTCTGCCTGTGTATGAGCTACAATTAATTGCTTTGCATATCCCTTTCTTGATTTGGTTTTAGTTTATCTTGTGTAACCCACATCCCATCGCATAGCGTCATGCCTAAGCGATGGGATGTGGGTTCGGTTTGATCTGCTTTCCTTCAAACTTTTATTCGGAATGGCAAGCATCTATATGTTTTGCTTTGGAATAACGTTGGTCGGAGGGGAAGGTCGGAGCGGAGGGAAGGGGAGGGAAAAAATCCTCTCCCTGGACAAATAGAGTGATGTCAGTTGTTTCAACTTCTCTTCATGGCATCCTGCTAGTTGTCCGGGATGTAACGGTGGCATTGAGGTTTTCGCAACGAACAAGGTGCAGATCGCTTCCTAGGTTTTGTCCCAAGGCCACACCACACAAAAGTTAAAAATACGATATACCATTTTCAAATCGAATTTTTTGTCTCTTAAACTAGATGGAAACTACGTAATTTAGCTACATTCGTCATTAAAAATGAAACTAGATCCTAGAGGATAACCAACAGCCCCTAATTATTTTGAATACTCATTGTTTCATCATCTTCCTTGATTCATGGTTGCAGTAATCGTTTTATGGTAATGTAATATTTTCGTCAATTCAGCTTAAGATTGACCAACGAGAATTGATTGAGTTGATAACAATCGTGTGTTTTGCTAGTTCAAGATTTAAGTTCAAGTCCCTCTCAGGGTAATCCTATTTGATAGGTTAAGACAAAATTCACCTTGGGTTGAATTTGTACTGCGGGAAGGGTAAGAATCCTTTGGATTTTTTATACGAAGGAAAATGATTAGGCTTGATTTTTAGTACATCCAGTAACCACTGACAAAGCTGGCGAAGGGCCAATCGAGGCACATGGCACTTCGCACTTGTTTTAACGAATGAAAAGGGAGATTTATTAGGGGACCGGCTTTTCTGTCCTTCTAGTTCTTATACTCTTATTTCTTCTTATTTTTGTACAATCACAGGTAAATTATATCAATATTTTATATTGATTTTTAATAAAGATAATAAGATAAAAAAAAAAAATAATGATATAAAATGTTGACATGATTTAACCATAATCATACAAATAGGAGAGAATGAGAGTATAAAAACTGGGAGGGCAGAGAAGCCAGTCCTTTATTCGGACTCCTTTCAGCAGAGGTACTACTGGTTCTGGTTCAACCCTTCTGATTTGTAATAATTCATCAACCCATTAGATCAAATTTGTTGATAATTACGTGGATGGAATATAATAAGTTATAGCAATTGAATCAGTTTTGTTTAGAGAATTTTTTTCTTATAAGCTACTCTCATCCGCCTATAGAGTGTAACACGTTATCCGCCATTTGCGACAAACTTATTTTAACCACACAAATTTCATAATCAAACGCTTAAATTTTCATAATGCAAGTATTGCCTTAATAAAAAAGCAATATTATATACACTATTAGAGTGGAGAAATAGGCTAAGCTCACTATAAACTAGCAAGAACGTAAGTATTGTCTTTATTTAAGTACTTTTATAATTTTGTTAGTCTTAAGTACTTTCATAATTTTTTTAAACCCAACTTTCAGTACACTCAGACTTCAAAAGTTTCTCGAGTTGAGGACTTACATGTCATAGATATACTGTCAATTAGTGTAAACTCAACCGTGTCAGTTTCAACAATGTCACAAACCATACAGAATTTAAAACGACTCAAATAATATTATTAACACAGAATGTCACATCATTCGTATAACGGTATTGTATTATGTAAGTTATTTACTCCCTACCCATCTCATATTCCTCGCTTGTCTTTTCCACCTCTCTCTCTCTCTCTCCCAGTTGCCCAAGCCCATTTCCAAAATCTCTCCTCTCTCCTCAATTTTTATATTAATTTAACACGCGATTCTTTGTTCACTCTCTTTTTTCTCATGAGCCTTTGGCTCTATAAATTGGATGGAGACCCTTCCTCGTCAACCTTCTTTCCAACGAACCAAACACTTTCCCTCTCCCCCCTAATTTTCCCTTCCATTTTTCCAACCAGCAGCTAACTTCTTCACTCAGACTCAGAAGGTAAGCTCCCATGATTTTTTATTTTTTATTTTTAGTTAATGGGTTTTCCTTGTTTCCATCAAAGTATTCCGTAATTCCGATTTCTGTGTTCGGATCTGGCGTTTTCGAATCTCTTTGTTTTCTTCGTTTTTGAAAATCGGAGTCCGACTTCTCAAGATCTCCTTCCTCAAATTTTACGGACGAGTTAAAAATCCATTTTCCGTTACAGTTTTTCCAGATCAGATCTGTTCAGTTTACATCTACTATGCTCCTTTTTTTGGATTTATCGTCCCTCGAGTTTTTTATTTCCTTTAATTTATTTGCTTGACCAGGTTTTACGTCGTCGTTTTAAACCGAGGAGAAAATGAATCACTGTGCGATGCAGCAGGGCAGTGCTCTCTCAGCATGCGAAGACATGAGGTCTTGCTCCAGAGACTCCGTCGTCTGCCCCAAACCTCGCCGCCTCGGCCTCCTCAACGATCCCGTCAGATCTTTCCGGTGGCATTTCGGGTATTTCGAATTATCGAATTTCTCTCTGTTTTGTGAAAGTTTATTTTTGCTTTTTTTAGGGTTTCGAAATTCGAATTATGAAATTTTGTTGGTTTTGTATTAATTTTGTACCATTTGATTTCAGCCACCAGGCGGAGTTCTGTGATTCAAAAGCTGGGTCTGACATTTTAGACAATATTCTCACTAAGGTACTTCCAGATCTGCAGTTAGATTAGTTAAGATTTAATCTGTTCAATTAACTCAATGCTAATTAGGCAATTACGGTAATTTAATCAGATTCATTGTGCCTTGAAAGAACCAATGTGTATGGTTTTTAATCCATTTGCTGATGTTTGGTTTTTGTAGGGTTCTTTTGGTGTTGAACAATTTTCGTGTACAGAAATGGCCTCGCAGCACCCATTTTATAGCGGGTCGCCGCCAAGCAGAGTAGCTAACCCATTAATTCAGGACGCTCGATTTGGGGATGAGCAGCTCATCTCGTCCTCATCGCTGTCGCCACAACCTGTCCCGTCAGGTCAATCATCGTCTCCTTCCTCGTCCGCGAGGAAAGGAGGCTGTGTTCGGACCAATTTTGGGAGCAAACCGGCAGTGAGAGTTGAGGGGTTTGATTGCCGGGACAGGGATCGGAGGAACTGCAGCATCCCTACCCTGGCATAAAGAGCCCGATTCAATCAACGAAGGTACATAGGAGAAAATCGAGCTTAAGTTTTCTATACTTGATAGCATTGAGAGGAAATTTTGAAATTCTCGGAGAGTGAAGGAAGTAGATCCTTCTGTCTAGTGTACATATGTTCGAGGGATTTGTGTAAATGAAATGTGTTGTGTAAGTAAATAACGAGCGGGGTTCGGATGTCTTATTTAGGAGAGGGCTCAGAGGGGGTGTGGCATTGAGTAGAGAACAGATTCTGTTTGTGTTTTCTACAACACCACCCCTTGTATTGTAAAAATTGAGAGCCCATTGTGGAAAAGTTTTCATTGTGTCTCCATTTAGGTGTTTCGGAGTTTCAGCGAGCGGCTTATGAAGCGAATCTGTACAAGTTGAAGTTGCTGTTGGGTCGATCCGAACAGTCATTTACAGTGTAAATATACCATTTGTGTTTCTGTTATCTTCTGCTGTCCACTATCTGCTCTGTGTTTCTACTTTCCGATTTTCTCATTTCACTCCGAATTGATCGATGATGCTTTCTTCAAAGAAAAAGAAGAAAAAACAGCTTGAAAGAATCGTTCAGCTTATGATCCGCGCAACTTTATTCGAAATGGTGAGCATCGTTATCTTGATGGAACCCTTTTGTGTGGATGAAGAAGATGCAGAGTGGACCTGTTTTCCGAAAGTCTGTCGAAGCCAGTTGGGCTTTTGATGAAGAAATTCTCTCTTTACAATTAAGACGTAGTCAATTGGTATCTTCCGTCCTCGTCCAACAGATGACTATCACGTCTTTAAGGGTTATTATTAAACAAGAAGAAAGCAACGTAATAAAATTATGAAACAAGATTCAGTCAAAAGTGCAAATTGTGTTGAAGCCGATTGATCTATAAGAAATCAGGGTTTTCTTACTTCTTGTTGCATAAGAAAATTTGGGTTTAAAACGACGTTTAGCGGTGCGATTATGATAACCATTTACTAATTTAACCGGTTTAAATCTTCCATTAAGTCATTGATGATGATAGTTTAACACAAAAACTGAACGAGTCTCACAAAACAAAATCAACACAAAGATTTTGTTATACAAGAAGAAAGAAAGTGCACATTGAGTGTGCTTGAATTCGTTACAAGAAGGGGGACCCGTCTCCAGAAACAGGGGATATTATATTTAAAAAATAAAATACAAATATTATATTAATAATAAATCTAAAGATGTTGGTTGGTTGAGGGGGACCCGGATCCAGGGAGAGGGGAGAGGGGGGGGGGTCCACATGATCCACTGATTCCCAAGGAGCTACGTGGAACCTACTTTAACATCGTCACTGTAAAATGTAAATGCACATGGTGCACCAAGTACCATTGTCAAACAAATCTCCTCCTTAAAACGTTAGTGTTAATGCCCGTTAAATTATTTATTCTGATATTTGTTACAATGGTACGTAAAATTAAAATTTTAAAAAACGTTAGATGCTGGTTCGGCATGATCTGGAATATAACACATAAATTTTTGATGATGGTTCAAGAAATAAACATTTAAGATAATCAAACGTTAAAATAATAAAATAAAATAAAAAGAGATCGTCAAACGTTGTTAAAGAATATCAACATGTTTATAGAATGTGGTATTTCTCTAAAAGTGTACTTCCAATATTTGACGAATTTAATATGTAATTATGTTCTAATATTTCACGAATTTAATATCTAATTACAGTTAATTGATTATAAAAACTTATATAGTAGTGTTGTTGTAAAATAAAACAAATATCCTTTTTATTAAAAGCAAAAACAAAAATATCAAATGGGATGAATATAAAATTTGTAAGTCTAAAAGATGTACCATTATATACGTTGGTTGCCTTTTAAATACGTCTCAAAGAGGCTTTTTGAGCAGAAATATTTGACTGGCCAATTACCACTAAACTCAAGTACCAAGATTTAAATTTGAAACCCTCCTCAGTCCTCCGCCTTCACCCTGTTTTGAGATAAATTTTTTAGGGTGATCAGAAGAACACGAGATATAATACTATGTAATGTTTTGTCCTATGCTCTAGACACGTAAAATCTCTCATGTTTAGGCCATTCATTCTTTACCTAAATAATTCTAGGTAATTTTTCATTATCTCATGTTCCAAATTCATTACAATAGTGCAGCACATACGCATCCATCACCAGCATTCAGCAAACAACTATATATATGCTAATTTTATCCCAAGATATTTATATATATAGGACGTGTATATCTTTCACACGATCCAACTAAATACTAAAGAAATAATCAAACAAACCTGCAATCTTATTGACAGTGTGGCGGTGGACGGATGTCCTCTACGTGTATCGGCAACCCATATTCTGAAAAGATATCCCATATCTCGTTATCTCTGGTATGGTTGTGATTGACCATGCTTTCTCTTTCTTTATTCGTTTTCTTTCTATATTTTCTCCTCCAAACTAAGCAACCAACTTTCAAATATCGACTGCACCTTCCAAGTTCCAACAAAAAAGTAGCATGGCTGATGGCTCATAAAATATCTACCAATCTTATACATCACAAATATCATCACTCGAACAGACTTGCGTAAGGGTGGTCGGATAGGGAATCTCTTGCAAAAAGTATTAAACTCTATTTTGATTTCACTCAGTGAAAGAATTGTCTTTGTAATCAAATACACTTTGTTCTCATTTATTGGATATTTTGTGAATTTTCGAAGCCATTCTGAAACGTTAAATAGACTGAATTATATTAGCATCCGTTATTCGCATTAAACTAGAAGATCGTGAAACAAAGAGATGAATCATTGTCCAATATAACTTTACGGGTTGATTAGTAAATGGAAGAAATATTGACATGAGTTTTGAAATAAGATTTGATTACCACTTAATACTACGGTTTAATGATATTTCTTTTTATTTATAAACAAAATGGCTTATTTCGAAGAGTTTAGGTATGGCCGGTTAGGACTGACTGCTTAGACGGTTATAAAACTGTATAATTAACCTTATAGCCCACACCCGTTGACTGCAGAAACAATCATTTGGCTACAGAAGAAAGGGCGGATTCTAAATGTTCAAACTATTCTCAACCCCTCCATCCTCTCCAATGTTAAGGATAAGTGGATGCCATGGCTGTGACGGCAGTGATAGAATACGTAATGTAAGCCGCCACCAGGATAAGATGGCTTTCACTGTCACAAACAGAAAGACAGAGACCAGTTTAACCCAAAGCGTACGTGTTGTTTCGATTGTTTGGTACCCAACTTGCAGGTTTAGGTCGGGCCAAGGGACTAGTCGGTCAGGTAGACAGCCACCACTCTCCGACACAGAGGGCTTCCAACCAGTCAATTTACAACTCAAAGTGGAACGTTTTGTTACTTCCCTCCCTCCCTTTTTTTGTCTTCCAGCAACTCAAGCTTTTTGGTTTGCTGCAGAACCAGTGATTGCATACATTATCACAGGCCACATTTTTATTCCCATGGATCATTGCCTGCCCAAACTACTAAAAGATCTTACTGACCAAAACACATATACTCGAACATATCTTTTGAAATCCCAACTCATTTTCCCGTTGAGAAATATTTTAGTAAGTGTGCTCTTCGGTTGTGCTTTCAGAGTATCGGCTAATTAGAGTATTTCCAACACTCATAAGTTCATTTTCTTCGACACTCTTTACATCAAAAACATATTTTATTAAAGTTGTTTGGAATGTATTTTTTTCGATAATTTCATTAGGAAAATATCGAATTTTTCATCACAAATTCAAAAGTACTTAAAAATGCATCCGCAGAATCATATACCAGATGTTTTTTGAGAAAATAATCTTATGGCAAAGAAGCACTTACGAATTTTTTATCAACGCGAATATTTAGCCTTACCAACTTTATAATAACAATCATAAACAAATTCTTAATCTTATCAACTTTATAATAATTCAAGACAGTCGCAACGAATTATCTCTCCTCCCTACGAGTGCAGAAACCAAACTTATAGTCGGCTGCTCCTGTTTCACCGAAATATACCAGTTTTTTTTTTTTAAATGGAATTTTAAGATCTTTATTGTTACCAATGCGTGACATGTGTCCCTTGCCTTTGCCACTGGAATTTCATTGAACAGCGGCCACACATATATCCGGAAAAAAAATATAATAATAAAATTGGTCCTATCCAAATAAGGTAACTGCGTTCGTGTCAATCTGCTTGCCCACTTGCCCTTTTCCATTAAAAGGAACTAATGGACGGCAAATCATCGTTATTTATTTCTCATGTTTAGAAATAGGTTGGTTAAAATTAAATTTTACTCACGATCGCTATCAAGTAGATTCATAGTTTAAAAAGTATTAAATTTAAAATCTTTTATTTTTGTTTTATAGGGCTGTTGTTTACATTTTTTTTTACTGAGCCAATTGTCGTGTAGGTTGCCCAATTGCCCTACGGGGAGTTCAGAAGTAGGAAAAACAAAAAGGAGAGGGCAACGCTTCGAAAACAACAGGGTAAGGTTACGTGAACACAGAAATTCATAGCTGCGCCCATGTAACTACTACGAGCCCTCCAAATTAAAATTCCAAACCAACTGCCTATATAAAAACAACCCAAGATCAATATCTTCTTGCCGTCTCATCCGCGAATTCCTCATAATTTGCATTTTTTTTATAGGTTTTTAGTTCGGCTTATATGTTACAACCCAGTTTTTGTTTTCCGGAGAGATCAAATTTGCCGGGATAAATGAAGAGGGAGAGACGTAGTGGCGGCGGCGGAGGAGGCGGTGCTGCCATTGTTCAAGCTCCAAGAATTGAAGTTACGACGGCAAAAACAGTGGCGGTTGCAAACAAGAAGGCGAAGAAAGCGATTGACAAGGACGGGAAAGAAGAGGCGAGGATCGACGGCGGAGATGATCAGCACTTTTGGGTTTGGTGGCGGATGATCAGAATCTGATGGTCGGGGATGAGAATTACTGGGGGAATTTGGGTGTTGTTGTTGCGGTGGATGAGCAAATGTCGTGGGGGTCCGTTTGGTTGCCACTTGGGATGTGGAGTTTATGGAAGAATCGCATTACGGATTGTTCAGTGATGTGATTTGGGACGATGACATTTGGGGATTGAGAACCACAAAAGAGTCCCAAATCCGTGCAAAAAGACGGAGAGAAGATTTGTATTTACATTGTTCAGTTTATGTATAAGATTTTTGTAGCAACAACAAAATAGTCATTTTCTGCCGTTGTTTTCTTCTCTATCATTGCCGCTGTCAGGATGCGCGAAAACCACTTAACATGCATATGCAAAGTTGACGAACACAAACTCTATTTAGATAGAGAATTCAAATATCACAGAGTAAACGGAGAATTACAAGGAGAGAAATTACAGAAAGAAATTTTTTTTGGAGCCACAGAACGAATGGTGCAAACAGAAACTGCCGACATGTCAATTTGAAATTCAAATTGTTGAAGGGAAGTAACTATAGCCGGTTGGGCACCGTTGCGACGGCGTAGTTTTTGAAGAACTTAATAGCTTGGGGGCTGGTAAGCGATGAAACTGATGCACTGTGTTTGGCGGACGTTGTCGAATCCGATGATCCTGATGAAGGAGTTGGGGTAGGCGGTCTTGGCCTCCTCGAGCTCCTTGAGAACTTGGGAAGAATCAGTGCATCCGAAGAGGGGAAGCTTCCACATTGTCCAGTAGCGTCCGTCATAGTACCCTGGGGAGCTGTTGTGCTCTCGGTAGACGAACGGGCGCTGCATTTTTTCATCGAAACATATTAAAAACGTCAACTCAACGTTGAAACGAGAAGCATCCTCGACTAAGAACTAGTGATGAAGTGTTCAATTTTTATTTTTATTAAAAAAAAAAAAAACTGCTTAACGTATATAAAAAATAAGTCGTGATAAACTTGTAAGATTAATGTTAAAGAAACTAAATTTGTAGACTAAATTAGCAAACTAAATGAGGTGTCACCAATAAAAAATGAGCACGTTTATCAACGATTAAGTAATAATCCAAACACCAACTTTCATATTATTTAATTTACAAAATTTAGTCGTGTATTGCAAAAAAATCCCATATTTTATCAAAATTACATTAAAATACCTTATTTTTCAAGACCTAATCTTGGGGGAAGAACAAAAAATAAAGATTATTTTTTTTATTTTTTTTGGGTAAATTTATTATTATTATTTTAAATTATGTGTTTTCGCTTTTACAATTTTTTGTTGCTTTTAGACGAACTAAAGAGTGCATGTTATTTACCTCCAACTCGAATTCCAAGGTGGGAACCCAGTTTTTGCGGAGAAGGTAGTCAACTTCCTTGGCCAATGACTCCGGAGACAGGGGAGGAAGGTAAGAGAGAGTCTCAAACTTCTTCAGTCCAGTTGGTGGCCACACCTGCAATTTTTACGTCAAAGCCGTAGTCGGATCAATTAGCTTTCTTTCTAAGCTAACTTTAATTAAACTTAAGAAATTAAAATAACCCTAAAGTAACATATACAGGTAAATTAATTAGCTAGGGTTACCTGCATGCACTGGACTCTTCCACCGTTGCTGGCAATGGAGGTAATATCGTTGGCCTTGCGGGTCACGGGGAAGGCTGAGAAGGACTTGAGACCGGTGAAGGGTGCCACCATGCTCGCCTGAGCCGGGGAGCTGGTGCGGTGGACGGAGCTAACAGCGGCGGACGAAACCAAAGAGGAAGCCATTGTTCCTCTCCTTCTTCTTTAATTTACCACAACTAGGTAGATTTGATCAGCTTAAGAGGACTTGACAGAGTTGCTTCACGCATGTATATATAGAAAATAACGTCGCTGCTGAATTTAGCCTGTGTTACCATAGCCTAAAAATCTAGTGGTGTAAAATTGATATTTCTGAAAATATTTGCCTTATCGTTATGCACTCCATAGGTTGTGACAGGTGGCAAACACCCATATCTTATCTGAATCACTAGTTGAATTATTTGAATGATGCTGTGTAACGTTATTTCTCAGCGCTTGATTTTTTCCTCCCGCCGTCTGTGAGCCTTAGATTTTTGTAAAATTATTTACTCCTAATCTTCGCGTCGTCCAAAACCTGGACCGTGACAGAATCTACTGTAACTCCATCCTTGAATTTATGCCATATTTTTGACCTAATTCACCTATCATGCTGGACCACCTGAGACCTTCAACTATTGGGCTTATTTGTTCCGCTTCGATTGATAAATGGGCGGATATTCTGTGGATTCAATGCTTATGGAACTCCACCCGTTTGGGCTACTTGCCATGGGAAACCTAGGACTGATGAGTAATTACACTTTGGATCGAATGGTGCATTTTGGTCTCGTTTGGTGTCTACAAGTTGAAAGATGTGTTTTTGTCTCGTTTGCTTTCAATTGGAGTTTGATGCTTTCTTTTTTCACAACTAACACGAATATTTTTAGTTAACTGATTTTTCATGTTGATCTTGAGTGGCATGGCTGATTTGATAGAGAAAAAAGGAAAGGCATTCAACATCCTTTTGCACAACATGGCCTTGGACATCAAGGAACAAAGTCGCTGAGTACAATTAAAGAAAGGATATATATGCAAGAGATAACATACTTGGCACCTAAGAAATCCTATTTAAGAATTTCATTAAGAATAACTAAATCAATGACTATACCGTAATAACCTTCTTAAAGTTATTACTTATTATTTAGATAAGTTACTAGTTGTAATTGTATTATTTGAAAATATATCTCTCGTTATTAGTATAAATAACTCCCTTCTCTTCTTTCGGGCCGATCTCCCTCACGAAATTCATACTACAAGAAGTACGAGTTTATAAGTTCTGAGAAAACTTTCACTTCTACGAGTGCGATTTATTTGTCAATTAAGTTTACGTAATATTGTAATTTGACGACCTAATATACTATTCGAGAATTTGCAGAAAATAATCCCGATTAATATAAAGTGGGAACGCTCTCTCCTCTCCTGAAAAGCATCTCGAAGTCCTTTAAACACAAACCCGCCTCCTCGGATTCCATTGCAATCGCTTGACCTGCGAAAAACATTTCCCCTAGAGGCTAGATCCAACGATAGTTTGACTCTTTGACTGGGGCGTGTCTCTGACGCTCTTAAATGATCGCGTGGGTCTGAAAGGGTTCTTTTAGTTAAACAGCTTACAGTGCGTTGCAAAGAAAGTTGTCGCTTTTTGTTCAGTCTCACTCTTTTTCGTACTCAACTTTCCTACACAGTGTACACACAGGCGCACAGAGAGAGAGAGAGAGAGAGAGAGAGAGAGAGAGAGAGAGAGGAGGGAGGTGCGAGAGGAAGGAAGGAAGCCATGGGAGAAGGCAAGGGCTCGACTCTGGTGCACCTGCTTGTGGTAGTTCTGAGCTTAGTGGCCTTTGGGTTCGCCATTGCTGCTGAGAGACAAAGAAGTGTGGTAACCCCTCTTTTCTTTTTCTTCTAATTTTACAGTTTGAAATGTAATTAAACTTGGATTTTTGAATGTGGCATTTCCCAAAGTCTTTGTTTTGCATCTTGATCTGTTTTTTTGTGCTTACTTTTCATGATTCTGTGTTGTGTGTTTTGGTGCTTTGTTCCGTACTGTTTGTGCTATGTAAAAGGTTAGGGTTTTTAAGGATGTTGTCGAATTTGTAATTAGTGCATTGGAAAAGTGGGTTTGTTACAATTTTTTGGGGTAGATTTGTTGATGGTGAGACTGTTTTTCCGGTTTTGGGGTTTTCTAGGATCTCCACAAATGAGGATTCTGAATTTCACTCAATTACCAAAACAGTGCCAAAAAGGATACGAAATTTTGATGGTTCTTTTTCTTAATTACCCTTTTTTTTAAATTCTCGAAGATTCTGAGGGTGGCGATTTCCATATGTGATTTAGTTCATTTACTATATGATTTAATTTTCATAATTTTTTGCTGAATTGCTACCACAAGAATGAACATTGTTGCTTTGTAATGCCTGTTGTTGGAGTCGACTCTTCTCAATTTCGGGGTTAAATTGTTGCCATTGTCAATGTGTGATCCTGGCGAACGCAAGAGACTATTTTATGAAACTTTTACAATAAGAATGACCATTTCCCAGCTCATTCATAATGTGTATCTATATTTGAAACTGTGTAAAAGTTGCTGGCAGTATGTAGTCGCTTGATCTGTAGAGTAGTGAAAATACAACTGAATAGGTGATCTGTCATTCTGAATTGCACAATAACGAGTTTCAGGGCTGCCCGCAGAAAATTTGATTTTCTCACAGCTGTTAGACTAGTACTTATCCTTTTGAACATTCTCTTTTGAGAAGTTAATGTACCATGCTTTCTTGGTCATTGGATTTTGTTTCTCCATTTGTACCACTCAATGCGTTCTTTATTTTAAAGGGATGAATTTGTTTATGAAGAATTATGCATTCTCGTGTGGGCGTATATGAAGAGGCGATTCATGCATCAGTTGGATTAGACTTTTTTAGTCTGCATATTCGTGTGTCATGATGAATTTCAAATTAAAAAGTGTGAACTAGAGAAAGTTTAAAGGTTGTGCAACCTTTGATATTGCAAGGTTTGATTCTTGTTTAAGTATTATAGTCAACTTGTTGATTTTTAGCTTTTCGGCATTTTCTCGTCTAAAACTTATTTCTGATAGGATTGGTGATGAGGTTTTAGACAGAAGAGGTTTCTACCGATTGGTTCCTTTTTTCTTTCATCTGGTATAACTTAATGCGAAAAAGTAATGGATGTTGATTACAAAAATGGAAAGGAAGTGGGTTTGACTCCATTCCATTACTAAGATATCAATATAGGTGTGTTTTATTGGTAGCATGATAGTTCCATTTCTATCCTTTGAATGTTTGCTTACTGTCTGAGTTACCAATTGGCATGGTGGAATCTCGGTCCATATTTTGTAACATCAATTTATAAAGCAACTTCATTTCCTGGCAGGGCGAAATACGTACAGATGTTCAAACGAATCAAACGTACTGTGTGTATAATTCAGATGTCGCAACTGGTTATGGAGTAGGCGGTTTCTTGTTTCTTCTCTCAGGCGAATCACTCCTCATGGGTGTCACGAAGTGCATGTGTTTTGGCAGACCCTTGGCCCCTGGTGGAAATCGAGCTTGGTCCATTATATATTTTGTTTCATCATGGTGAGCAGTCCTATGTTCCTTAATTAAGGAACCCCATCTTGAACAATGCAACATCAACCTCCAGATTGCTTTAACTTGCCCGTCATTTTTGCTCCAATTTCATTTGTTTTCTTTTACTTAAAAAGTTTGGTAAACATTTCTGTATGAATGTTTAGTTGAATGTTTAGTCTCCTTCATTTGGCCTTGGGACAAATTGATTGAAGATGTTATTCTTCAATTAATCCATGTATTTGAACTCTACCTTTATAATTTGCTGCATTTTGTGTATCTGCAGGGCAACTTTTCTGGTTGCAGAAGCTTGTCTAATTGCTGGTGCTACAAAAAATGCCTATCACACCAAGTACCGGGGGATGATATATGCTCAGAACTTCTCCTGTGAAGCATTGCGAAAAGGTGTTTTCATTTCTGGAGCAGTATTTGTGGTTGCGACTATGATTCTCAACGTGTATTACTACATGTACTTCACCAAGGCAACTGCTGCTCAGGCAACTCATAAAGCAAATCGTTCGAGCTCAACTGTTGGGATGACTGGGTATGCATAGAATCAATTCGTAGTACTAGTTAGCTTCAAAGTTTTGCATATTGATGTTTTGAGTATGGGATGCCTCTGTTATATCATACTTTTCAGTGTGTCAATTACATTGGTTTTATCTGGTGAATATTTATATATACAAGTGCCTGTATGAATACTTGCAAATGCAAGTTGCAGAATTATTAAGTTTTGGTGGTTGACGACTCACTTTCAATATTAAAATTTCAAATCTGCTATGTTATTTTGCTTTTAATTTTTGGATCATACTGTTTTAGCAAGGGGAAATTATTTCCACACTTCTTTTCACTTTCTACACAGTGTTAATATTTGTCCTTTCTCGTTTAATTTATTCAATTCAAAAGCTGAAAATGTTTATGGGTGTTCAAGGAGAAAAATGAGGTTGCAAATTTTTTTTCCCATTTACTAATTTGAATCACCTCTAATGTGGCCCCATGGTATTATAACATGTGTATTTCAAAGCTTTATCCCGATACACGTGTCTTCTTGTTATTGGAGCTGTCAGAGGTAAGTGAATTTTAGTATTCACAAGTGAGTACTCTAGTATTGTCCTTTACTAAATCGACTGTGTATTTCAAAACTTTATCCCAATACACGTCTTCTTGTTATTGGACCTGTCAGAGGTAAGTAAATTTTAGTATTCATGAGTGAGTACTCTAGTATTATTGTCCTTTACTAAATCGACTGTGTATTTCATAACTTTATCCCAATACACGTCTTCTTGTTATTGGACCTGTCAGAGGTAAGTAAATTTTAGTATTCATGAGTGAGTACTCTAGTATTATTGTCGTTTACTAAATCGACTGTGTATTTCATAACTTTATCCCAATACACGTCTTCTTGTTATTGGACCTGTCAGAGGTAAGTAAATTTTAGTATTCACGAGTGAGTACCCTAGTATTATTGTCCTTTACTAAATCGACTGTGTATTTCATAAGTTTATACCAATACACGTCTTCTTGTTATTGGACCTGTCAGAGGTAAGTAAATTTTAGCATTCACGAGTGAGTACCCTAGTATTATTGTCCTTTACTAAATCGACTGTGTATTTCATAACTTTATCCCAATACACATCTTCTTGTTATTGGACCTGTCAGAGGTAAGTAAATTTTAGTATTCACAAGCGAGTACTCTAGTATTATTGTCCTTTACTAAATCGATTGTGTATTTCATAACTTTATCCCAATACACATCTTCTTGTTATTGGACCTGTCAGAGGTAAGTAAATTTTAGTATTCACGAGTGAGTACTCTAGTATTGTCCTTTACTAAATAGACTTGAACCAGTGAACTAGGTCGGAATGAACCGGTTGCACGTGTGATTTGGCTCAAGGTTAGATCGGTTCAGCCCTTGGTTTTGCCGCTTCTCTCTCTTTCTTTTTAGACATCTCACAAATTGTACAAACCGGTTGCACATGAGTCCATCCATTCTCCATTCCGACCCAAACCTGAATCAATGTGGCTGTATTATTCGTTTGGTTTAGAGAGTGAAGCAAACCGAACAGAATCGTACCCACCTCTATTGACCTGCAGAGAAATTTTGGTTGAAATTCAATGTTTGTGTTAGAGAAAGCGAGAGGGGGGGAGGAGGAAATAATTAGTAGGTGGCTTGAGAGTTGAGGCCAAGAAGAATATGGCAAATGCAATAAAAGAGGGGATAAGAAAATGGCAAAAATAAGTAGAAGAGGATGACAAAAGTCCAAACGACAAGCTCAATTTGTAACTTTAATGCATGCAGATGAAGTGGTCCGTTATGAGAAATTTTATGGTCTGTTCGAAACACAGGATGATAAAGGATGATATATCAATCAGTATTTCAGACACACTAAAACCACAAAACAAAACCACTTATCTTCAATTTTGAAATACGTTGGGGTAAAATTTTGTTATCTGCGGGTGCATATTATGCGCATAGAATGTCAAAAGTTCAGTTTTAATCTTCACCAAAAGAATAGTTGAGTTTAAACCGTGCTCTGAAATTAAATTTACCAATACGGCCCTGCAAAGTTATTTGACCATGACTAATAATTCAGTTGTAACCGTACCAAGTACCATTGAAAAGTTTTAAATGATACTTGCTACCTCAAAGTCCCATCTGAATTTCTAACATAGAAGTGAAGCCTTTCCTATCAATGCACCCAAGACAATGATTGTTGGTAAAAGAACAGCATTTCCATTACCACTGTGATTAGACGATCAATCGAGCAATATCTTCGAAAATCCGGCATAATAATCGCAAACTCTTTTAATTTTTATTTGTTGTCGTTGACTTATTCAATTTGATAGTGAAAAATAAGAAGAAAAAAGTAAAATGAGAAAAATACGTACTGTTATTATTTTCCTTTCGTAATGCATAATCCAAGTTCTTTGCAATTAATCGTATGTTTAAATAATTGTCTACATTTGAAAAGCATTGATTAAGTTTTGTTTAATAATAGAGTAATGCATGGAACTTGGCGGGTTAGGCAATCTGTGTCTTCATCCATCTATCTCTTTTCTTTTCCAGTTTTCATGGGTCCTTAACCAGTTTTATTCAACAGTTTGGTAGTGTTTTTATCTAATCCATTTCTTGTTTTCCTTTCCTTTCTTTTCAAAAGGACCCCATTAACTTTGGTCGATGCCCAAAAGACAGAGCTCTTGCTTTCTTCAATTGGCAATGAGTTAATAATGGCATAATTAATCTAGTATGAGTTTGATTCTCCTAGATCTCATTTTCAAAGAAAATTGTAGTCACACATAGTTCAGTATTAATCCAAAAATGGTCGGGAAGAAATACAACAAAAACTAAATGACCACCTACCATTCAATTATGATCGATTGACATATATATTGTAGAGTATAAATAAATGACTATTTATACTTAAAAAATAAATAATTGAATTGGGATACATAAAATAAGTCTGTTACAATTTATTAAATAAAATAAAATGTAAAATGAAAGTTATATATTTTCTATTTTAAGTGAGAGTCGCTACCCATGTGAGTAAGGTGGACGCGCAAACAGGTCTAGGAGCATTTTTATAATTTTCAAATGTTTAAAAATTAATTGGGATGGTGGGCAGCCGTTCAGGGCTGAACAGTGGATATACCCCAACTAAAACATTGTCACATTTGTTTTTTTATTTTCTATTTTTTTATTTTTATGAATAAACATTGTCACATTCTCATCACAAGCCCCAAGTGATTTATGAGGACAATTGTGTCTTCAAGAAGCTCACAAGATGGCATCAAATTTGGCACCTAATTTAGTAAATTACAGTACTAATTAACAATTAATTAGGACATACGTACGACGGTACGAGAAAGTTATTACTTTTACAACCAAATATTGGTCTCCAGCACCGCCGCGGGATTCCCGGCCGGTCTTCTCCTCCGCAATCCCATACACGTTTCCATATTTAATCCCCCAAATTCCATCTCACACATTACATACATATTCTTTACAGTTTATTATTTACTATATAATTGGAGATTGTAGTTCACCGTTCACCTCCCCGCGTGGTAAAAACTCAGAATTTGCCCCTCTCTCTCTCTCTCTCTCTCTCTCTCTCTCTCTCTCATGCTCTAGTGTGGTACTTGGCTCGCAATCCCTCCCTGGGATTTGTTTGCATAATAACAGAGACGCTCTACAAAGCGCGTGTGGCCCTTGTTTTCACTTTTAATTTGTTTTGCTTTGACTCTCACAGCGTCACCGACATGCTGATTTCTAGCGTGATGCATCGGTAATCATATACCTGCGCATATATTTGCAGCAAGTGCAGGAGCAGCGCATCAGTAATTAACTTTCTTCACCCTAACGATGGCCAAATTAGTGACAAAGCCCTTATTTACAGTTTATATGAAACACCTGTCGTATAATGTACTATTGCGAGTATTTTTACGTCCAACACTAACGGACTCAAATACAACATAACATATACTGAGTAGTTTCACTACTAATCGAAGTCTATGTATAGAATGTCACATATGCTAGATTATGCACGTTATTAAATTCAGAATAGTGTCAATGTTAATCTACTCTTGTTTGATATCAAAGCGGATTAGATTTGTCAGGGTTTAATCCGCCCAAGGCATCAATCGTGCCACAGGTGGGCCCAAGCCCACCAGACTAAGGAGTCGGGCAGTAATAGCCCGACATTGCGCCTGGGGCCATGTGACGTTAGGTTGACGCCATTCATGTTATAATTTTTTTGCACCAGGCACGTGCGCTTCATGTGTGCGTGACGGCTAGTATTCCGACAAAATGCAGGTTGAAGGGTACTTTTTACTATTAATTATATATCATTTTGTAAAAAAAAATCATAAATTATTGAACTGTGCAAGTGATTTAATAAAAAAATGGACTAGAATTTTCTCATCTCTTAATCTCTTTTTCCTTCAATCTCCTCCTGTTTGAACGGTTAAAATTAAGCTATATCAACATTGTGTGTTGACTTTTTTTATAAAGAGACACAAAAAAAAGTGTGAGAGGAGAGGAAAAAGATTAAGGAAATTAAAGAGAAAAGAGAATCATACTCCGTAAAAGATAGCATCCATGAATCATGATGATTAGTAGTAGATCCTTTTTTCTTTTTTTTTAAGGATAAAATAAAGGAAGTTTTAACAAAACACGTCCGATATTGTTCACTTTTAACGAAAAATCATATTTTTATTTTTCATGATTCTATTCACTACACATTTATTTGTCATTTTTCATTAAAAGTAATTTTTTTTTTTTAATTTTCCGTTAGTTTTTCTTAAATTTAAAAAAATAGAGTTAAAAAGTAAAATACAGAGAGCTGAGACATGGACTGCTGCTATTTTCTCTTCACGTGGACCACTGTGGGCGTATACTAGGCTCCATTTCTCTCTGCCCCTCTCTCTCTCCCCTCAGTCCTGTCTCTCTCCTCTCTCTCCTTCTCTCTCTGTTCTACATAGAATAGCCGTCAATCCGTTGCTCATAAGTCACAGCCTCGAGAGACAGAGAGACAGACAGTGAGAGAAAGAGAGAGAGAGATAAAATTCAGAACTTAGCATTTTAACGGTCAGACATTAGCTTAAACAGCTCATCAAGACAGAAGGAGGAGAGAGGAAGAGAGACCTTTGGTGATTTATGTAGCTGGACATATATTCCGGCAATGTCGTCCGCCGGTTGCTGGAGGCTTCTGCATTCTTCCCTGCTGGTTATTCTGGTCGTTTCGGCGTTACAGA